TTGTTGTTGTTGCTGTTGATGTTCATATTATTTGAGATATTTGCTATGTTCCCATTACTCAAAAGTAAGCCAATGGCTTGATTTATCGCCTGGTTGACGATCTGCTGTGGGTTATGTTGCTGCTGCTGCTGCTGCTGCTGATGATGATGATGAAGTGGTTGTTGCTGTGGCTGGGGTAGTCTGAAATTTTGAAGAGTCATATGCGGGACCTGCCCTAGAGGGTTTGGGCCAAGTAAGGGTAACCTGAGGTGGTTATTTGAGGGTAGGTTTGGTCTGTCACCTAGTAAAGATTTAGAATGGAAAATATTTTTGTTGTTGTTGTTGTTGTTGTCGTTGAAATTGTTGTTGTTCTTTCTGTTGTTGAAATTAGGATTTGGAAACGTCATATTCATGTTATTATTGTTAATGTTGTTGTTGTAATTGTTGTTATAGGAAAAATTGTTGTTGTTGCTGCTGTTATTGATGTTGTTATTGTTGTTGTTGTTGTTTGCTGGATAAAACGATCCAGGCATTGTTCTAAAATCCACGTCTTGATCTGAAAAAAAAAAATTAACCCATTTACATTAAACAAATGAATCAATATGAATGAACGAATGCTTGGAAAAATAGAAGAATGCGTGAATGAATGAATGAATGAATGAATGAATAAATGAATAAATGAATAAATGAATGAATGAATAAATAGATAAATGAACGAATCAATGGATCAATCAACCAATGAATCAATCAATCCACAAACAAATGAATGAATAAAAAAAAAAAAAGAAAGAATAAAAATCCCAGCGTACAATTTTTACCAATAGCATCCATAGACATTGGTTGTAAGTTTCTATGATCGACATCCATCAAAGATGATGAAATCATTGACGAGGACACAACCGACGATGATGACGACGATGAAGATGAAGTAGTAGCAACTGAATTTTCGTCGTTGTTGCTATTGCTACTTTTGTCATTATCGTTATTTTTGTTGATGTTATTAACGCCATAGCTGCTGTTATTATTATCACTATTATTATTATTATTATTATTATTATTATTATTATTATTATTATTATTATTATTATTATTATTATAGTTAGTATTGTTACTGCAGTCATAATAATCATTGTTGTTGTTGTTACTCGGGTCAGGGCTGCCTATATCGTCTTCAAACTTGCAAACCTTGATACCGCCATTATTAATGGTATTTCTTTTACCACTATTTACGTCATTCTTACCGCCGTCGTTGTTGTCGTCGTCATCATCGTCATTCATATGCGCATAGTTGTTCATCATCACGTCCTCAATGAAGACGACAGAGGACGACGACGACGACGACTGCATGGAAGTCGAAGACGACTGCTGCTGCTGCTGCAGCGACGCGTTGCCGCTGTTGTAGTTACTGTAATGTTCCTTAACATGATCTGGGGGAATGCCGAGTAAACTGGGCTTCACGTGCGGGTAGAATTTTGGCCTCCTGTACAAAAATTTTTAGACATTCAGGTTTGAAAGTAGGCCCATCACTAGCAATAAAACTAACAACACTAATTAAAATGACAGGTTTAAAATAAAACGAACCTCTGCACAGAATTGATAGCGGCCATCTTTAGAGCGGCAACTATTTCCTCCTCTGTGGCGTTCTCCGTATTGGGGACAACTATTTTTAGATCGAGTAGGGATGGGACCTTTTTCTTAGGAGGTTGGTCAGGGTCATCTGATCGGTTAATGGGAAGTTATGAATAAATTAGCATAATTAATGAGGCTGCGATTGAATCAGATAAATTAATTTATTAATGAGATGTGGAATTGAATTAGTATAAGAAATATGACGATGGCAAACCTTGGTTCATGGTTCTCTTTCTACTGATCTCATTGAAATCGTTCTGCGCAGAACAAATTTATAGGAAATGAAATACTTAAAATATAATACTAAATAAACAACAATTTAAAAATAAAACCAGCATTATCAACTACAACAACAACATCAAAATTAAAAACAACAGCAACAACATCAACGACCATTTCAACATACATCAACATGTAGATAATGGCACTTCTTCCCGTACGAACACTGCCCAGTAGCCTGGTAAGTCTTACAAATATCTCTGGTTACACCCTTCAAACTTCGATCATGTGAAAAGATGCAGTCTGATCCCTAATTTAGGGTAAAATTGTGACAAAAAGTTACAGAAGGTGGTGGCAAATTTGTGAAATTTATAAAAATTCTACTGAAATTGGTGGAAAATTAGTGAAACTGGGGTATAAATATAGTGATGTGCTTGTTTGTTGTAGGCTGCATTTTTAAGGAGTGGAATTTTAAAGTCGTGCATTCAAAATCATTATAAAACAATGGAATATATATGTGGAGTGATTCATATTAGGTGGAATGAACATGGCATATTTCTAGTGTCATAGTCTTGTGGTTTTGATTATGTGAAATAATTTTGTGATCATTCTGTTAGTACATTTTGGCAAATAAGTTAATTATGGTTAGGCAAGGCTGAAAAAAAAATTGTTCAACTACTTAAAATAAAATGTATAATAATAATGAAATCAAATGAATAAAAGAAATAATAATCACTTTGGCACAGTTTCCTTCGAAGAAAAATTTGCAGAATCTAACTCTTTTCTTCCCGCTCGATGAATATTTCTGTTGTAGGAAATTAGATAATTTAATTAAATATTTCTTTCATGGTTACTAGTCATCAACATATTTTCTACAACTGTTTTCTACAAATAGTAACCTCGTTATCATTCTGAAAGTCTTGAAATTGTCTGTTTGAGCTGTTAATTATAAAATAAAATGCTATTTTAGTAAATGAGTCATAAAAAAATTTGTTTTAAATCAAACTTTGAACCAAAAAACTACTAAAAGTTAAAAAAAATAAAAAAAATAAGTAAGAACCTAATGTTATAATCGTTGTCATCACTGTTGTACTGGTCATCATCAGATGGACAGTCATCCATCCCTCTAACTTTCTTCGGTACAGAGACACCATAATCATAGCCATCGTAGAAACCATTGTAATCAAAATAAGGGTCATCGGTGTAAGGCACTTCTTGGGGATAAGTTTCCTCGTGTCTTCTTTTCGACTGTGATCATTGGAAACATGAATTATAAAATAAAACATTTAACTCCCTTAATTGACTTAAAAGTTTAAATAATCCCAAGGTAGGCCAGGGAATGAATAAGATGAATTATTGTAAAACAACAAACGGAAAAAATTAGACTGTGAACCTTTTTGCCAGAATGGTGACTTCGGTGATGTTTTTTATCTGGTTTTGGTGTTTCTGGAGACTTTTTTCTAGTTTTTTCAACAGGCTTTGTATCTATATTTTAGGGAAATGTTTTTTAAGACAAAATTTATAAATAGATAGAACAATTCGCACAAAAATGATCTTGGTCACTAGACTGTTGAGGGTTACACTTTTTAGTAGGCAAAGGGTTGTTATATTCGAGTTTCAGATTTCAACACTTAATTTAATACATTTACACATTTATCAAGTTAAATTATATATGAAATAGTTGAAAAACAAGGGCCCAGCAAGCCAAGTTATCTGAACCCTTCTTCTCAAAAAGTGTAACTCAAAGTCAGTAGAATGACCAAGTTGGAATAGACTTTTGATTGGAACCCACCTATAACAGCCTGTTTCTCATCTTCACTGTCGTCTTCTAATTCGCCATCCTCAAGCTCATTATTAGTCTCAACTTCGTCCTTCTTTTCGTCGTCCCCCATTGTTTCAACTAAACTTTCCACTCTAGACTTTTTAACAAGATTATTTCTTGGTCAAAAGTGGGATATGATTGCTTTTGTGCTGAATTTCTGACCGGTGGTGATAAGAAGGATGATTAAATAAATTAATAAGGACCAATTTGTGTCTTATTTATGTTCGTGCCTTCGGTAAAAAAGGTTTTACCGTCATTCGTACATAAAATATTAAAATTAGAGATTAGTGAAAGAAACAAAAATATGGTTACGTGACCAATCATTCGTTCGCTCACAAATCGCAAAATTTAAAAAGAAAAAGTCACATGCAAGTAGTGAATTTTAAAACAAAACAAAATATCGTTTCACTTAAGTGAATTTAATGAAATTAATTACAGAAATTAAGAATAATGCCTAGTCCGAATCATTCACGTAGCATAAAGCAGTCCCTAAGGCGTCCATTAACGCGCACGAATATAAATAATTTAAGGCACACATTAACATAATTAATTCTTTCAACAACATACACACAAGAATCAAATGATTACTGTCGAATGATTTTTTGATATAAATTCATTTTCTAACCTTTGTTCTAACCAAAATTAAACACAGACTCGACCAAACTTAAGAAATAATCACCACCACCACAAGCTCCACGTGGTTTGCAGTTATTGTTTGTCAAATGGCAAGTTTTCTTTTAATTTGTGGTTCTGAAGAGCACAAATTAACAACAAATCACACAAGGACCTTTTTCATAATAATGTGACTTATGCAGTTTAGAAAAAATGTTCAAAATTGACGTAGGATTTTCAATATTTAAGACTTTTAATTACGAAAAATCTTCGCGAACATACATCACGGCCTTGCATTAGAATGACTAAAACAAGAATAAGCAAAATATTATATAGTAACAGCTGTGCACTTTAAGCCAGCAGTTGTAATTATGTAATGCGGCCAAACCACGTAAGGCTCATAGCAAAGAATGCCGGATGTAAAAATCAACAATAAAGAATTTAACAATTTTTAATTAAATTTAATATTTTAAATCGTGAATTAGTGCAATTTTAATTATTATTTAAAGTTAAATAAATTTTGATAATTATTATTTAAGTATTTCCAGAGATGGCAGGCTTAACCAGGCACTTTTCCGTATCTAAATATCAGGCACGTTACGCCGTTATAAACATAAGTCCACTTTTAAATTCATTCACAAAAAGTTTAAAATTCATTCAGCTAGATACGCAATGTTTACTAATTTTTCTTTCAAATTATTGCTTTTTAAACCTAAAAGTTTTTAAAAATAAGAATAAAATGCATAAAAAAAGATGGCGCCGTTCAAAAAATAATTTAGAAGAAGGCGAATTGAGCGATTCCGAAAGTTATTCATCGTGGTCATCAACTTCCACAGCAATTTCGGTTTCATCGTCATCATCATCAAAAGCCGCTTCCAAAAAACACAAAAGACGCCCGAAGAAGAAAAGATATAAGAAACACCCTCGCGAACATAAAAAATCGAACAGAAAACTTCCAAATTCACTCAAAAACCCTCAAGCGGAACCAGCTTTCTTGCTAAATAACAATCTTTCTCAGTCCGTCATAAATCTACCAAATCATTTTCTTCACGAAGGGAACTGCCTATCCCAGCTACAATACCCAATCTATCCCCAACATTCCAATCCCATTCTATCTCCGGAAAATCTCAACAGGGTGACGGCCATTGTCGGCGAAACTATAAGCGCAACTTTGACAAACACTTTGAAAAGTATTGCCAGTGCACTTCTACAAAACTGCCTATCCTCTAACAACTCTAACAATCCTTCAATAAATGCTCTTTCTAGTCTCAAATTTTGGAATAATTTCAACTCTACACTAAATTCTTACATCAACGTTAACAATAGTAACGTAATTAGTAACACAAACAGCATTAGTAACAGTGTTAAACAGACAAATTTCTCGAAACCGACTAAAAGTTGGTTACCAAGACCACCTCATGTTCCGAGCAACAATTCCAAATATACTCCTTACAAATCAACAAATGCAGAGCTTGCGAGTAAGGCCCAATTAAATTTTGACATTCTACAATTCGTTATTCATAATAATAATAACAACTGCAATAACAGTAACAACAACAATAATAACTATCAAGATTTTCTTGGTAAACCCTGCCAAAAAATCGTCTTTCTATGCTAGCAAGAAAAGCCAAGCATTTCAAACAATTTTAACAGTAATAATAACAATATAGAAGGCTTGCATAGCAAGAACAGAAGCAGAAGAATCGTAAACAGTGTCGGTATCGAACCGTACGAATTCGGTAATCAAGTCGATTTCTCGGTAAACTTCGGTAAAGAATGGCTATGTAACGATAGAAACATAGAACGATACGGTAACTCGTGTCACATACCAAATAACGACAACAAAAAAGTAAATGACATCAACAACAACAATTTCAGCAGCAAAAATAATGACATCAACAACCACATAGTAAAACAGAACGATGGCGTCAAAAGGATAATGAACGAGAAGAAGAAAAATTATAGCTGCGACAACAACAACAACGACGGCAAGGATAGCAATATAATTAATAGTGACATCATCAACAACATTAACTACAACAGCAAAAACATCAACAACATCAACAAAACCGGACATACCACAGCCAAGCGAAACTCATTAAATCCTAATAACTTTCAAATAGTTGATCAAACTGACAAGAACGAATTAGGCAGCCAACAACATCAACATCAACAACAACAACAAAAACATCAACAACAACATCAACAACAACATCAATCTATAAAGCATCAGCCTTTTTTACATCAGTTAAAACAACCACAAAAACATCAACAATTGTATTAACAATTGCAGAAAAAAGTTGAAAATAACATTAGAAATAGCAAAATCAACAACCACAACAATAACAATAATAATAACAACAATAATATTAATAACAACAACAACGACAATGGTGATTTATCACTGTATGATAGAATTATTAGTTTAAAATCAAAACTAAAATCGGCTAGAGAAACTAATCTATAGAAAGATGTTTGTTTGTATATATGTTTGTTTGTATTTTTGTGTGTTTGCATGTTTGTTTGTATGTGTGTTTGTATGTACGAGTGTACGTGTATACACGTATGTCGGTATGTACGCACGAGAGAGAGAGAGAGAGAGAGAGAGAGAGAGAGAGAGATGAAAGGATTGAATTGAAAAAGGGAGAAAGGCAGTAGTCACTGCATTATAGGAGCGCTGGTGTATAATTAACTAATTAATTCACTGCTCCTTTAGAGTTCAAAAAAGCACCTTTTCCTACTCCCTCTTGAAACCTTCTCCAATTGCATTATAACATCGAGCTAATTTGAATTCGTTTAATGTTCTAATGTTTAATTTAATGTGATATTCATTTGAGGTGATATTTATTTACCTGTTAGAGAATAAAGTATTATAGTTTTATACACACTTTTGTAATTTGGAACCTTTTTAGAACTTTTTTAGTACCCTAGGAAAATAATATTCTTAATTTATAATTGTTATATTTGCCTTTACTTTATAGTAATATTACGAAATTACACTTAAACAAATAGTGTTAACATCACTATTTGTTTGGCCATTATGTATTGACTTTTTTGGAGTTTGTTTATAAATTTTACATTATTTCTATTAATTTATTCAATACATTCATCCATTTGTATTTCAATTAATTAATTTATTTATTTATATGATTTCTATTTGGTTTATTTAAATTTATAATAATACATCTTCTCGATGAAAATAGTTTGTCTTCATCGTTCGTTCATTATTTAATATTTTAGCAGCGAATTTTAATTGGAAAAGTTTGCTTGACACAAATGAATAAACAACAACAAAAACAACAGCAACAACAACAACAATAATAATAATAATAATAGGTGTTAATATGTCAGTATGTTTGTGAGTTAGCATCTGGCGATGGATGGTCTGCTGTTGGTGCGAGATGAAAAATTAACCCAAAAGCGTGAGAAAGAAAATGGAAAAATATATTTTCCAGAGAGACAAAAAAAATGTTTCTAATTTGTTTAATTTTTATTTTTAAGTCAAAAAAATGAAATAAAGTTTTTTGGAATGATGGCAGACAAAAGGGAAAGTGAATTTAAAACAAAAATAATTTGAAACTAAATGTAGTACCAAGTTAGAGACATTCTGAAAAAAAGTCCCAAACGAAATGAGACATGATTGATAAAATAATACAAAGTAAATACAAGGTGATACAAAAAGATACAGAAAGATATAAAAAGTTACAAAATGATACAAAAAGATACAAAAAGGTACAAAATGATACAGATAGATACAAAAAGATACAAAGTAATATATATAAACAAATTAGTTTTTTTACTTTCATAATGGATGGATAGGTCGATCGTCATTTTTTCTGTCGGGAACAAAGGATTCAGCCGAAAAAATTGTGTTTATGTATAGTCGTTCGTTCGTTCGTTAGTTCGTTCGTTCGTTCGTTCGTTTGTTCGTTCGTTTGCTTGTTTGTTTGTTTGTTTTTCGCATGCATATATGTATGTGTGTACGTTTTGTCTACAAGTTTATATGTGTGAGTCCATAGGTAAAAGAAATAAGCGAACCAATGTTGCTTGACATTTGTATGCAGGCATTCATATATGTATTACAAACATGACGTATGTGTGCGTGTATGTGTATTTATGTATGTTTGTATGTTTGTTTTTATGTGTGTATGTACCAGTTCAGTAAATTTTTTATGTATTTCCTTGTAAAAAGATTTCCTCCTTCCAAAAAATTGTTTTCTTCAAGTTTTGTTTCACCATTTTCACTTTCTAATGTCTTTCTTCTTATTTTGATTTGAAATTTTTTAACTTTTTAATTAAATGGGTTTGAAGATAGTCAAGCTTGATGGATGCATACAAAAAGTAACATCATCTATTTCTCTCTTTCCCTCTCTCTCTCTCTCTCTCTCTCCCTCTCCCTCCCTCCCTCTCTCTTTACGTACAAGTGCATGCACGCCAGGATGCGTACGTACAAAGAGTTTGTATGTATTTCTATGGTTTCATGTACATGTATGTATGTATGTATGTATGTTTGTTTGTTTGTTTGTTTGTTTGTTTGTTTGTATGTATGTATGTATGTATGGATGTATGTAAGTATGTATGTATGTATGTATTTATATGTATATATGTACTATGCAGAGCATAACAGCTAATGAGCGTCCGTGCTCATAAAACTTGCATCAGCAACAACAACAACAACAATAATAATAACAACAACAATAATGACAATAATAATAACAACAATAAAAATAACAACAATAACAGTAGCATCACCCTCACTAAGTCGTCACGTGATGTAAACAAAAACAGATGTTGACACCTTTCTGACACAGTCTATGTTGTCTTCATAACTCTACTACGACATATACATATCTATATCACGTATATATATATAAATATAAATATATATATATATATAGAGCGAGAGAGAGAGAGAGAGGGAGAGAGAGAGAAGAAGATGGAGTAAAAGTGAGATAGAGTGTAGAGGAATTAGAGTGTTCTTATATCATAGTCCTAACATTTTTCAAATTTTCTCTTCATAATATAAAAAAATCGGCAAGTATGACCGGCAAAAGTTAACTAGAAAATTGACAGTACGTAAGAACATATATACGTTTCTATGTATGTGTTTGTTTGTATGTATGTGTTTGTATGCATGTGTGTGTTTGTGTATGCGTGCGTGTGTGTGCGGCGTATTCGGGTGACGTGTAGAAAAATAAATACAAGTTGCATTCAGTCTGTCATCACATGCATCCCATCGCCATCTTCATCATCGTCGTCATCATCACTGATGGTTGTTATTGTTCTCACCATCGTCAAATACACATACACACACACGCACACACAAACAAACACACACACACATACACGCACAGTGTCCAAATTATCTTCGCATCTTCATTTCATTGCTATCACAGACATTCAGCAGACAAACATAAACAGACATACACACACGCACATACAAACATACTAATTTCCAAGCGTACAAACAAACACAAACACACACCTGTATATATTTGTATACACATACTACATACAACAATAAACCTAAAATGCTATGATATTAAACAAAATCCCTTATCAATCCCACACACACACACACACACACACACACACACACACACACACACATACACACACACATATACACACACATACACACATACATACATACACACACGCACATACACGCACACAGACACACAGACAGACACACACAAAATTATAAATGCATCGCCTTTTACAACCGGCCTGAGAGGTAGAGCCACATAGGCCTTACACTGCAAAACACCGTTCCTCCACTCAGCTCCCTTATAGCAAGTCATAAAAATGATTTAGAAGAAGCTCATTGTAGTAACGAATGCAGTATTAATGCTGTTATTTCTAGTAATATTACGACTATAATTATTATTATTACTATTATTATTATTGTTATTATCATTTTTATTATTGCTAATATTCTTTCTTTATTGTTATTGCTTTGGTTATAATCTGATATCTTTAGAATTTTTATAAAAAATTTATCTGTGTGAAGCGGCTTAAACTGAAAAACGACTGCAGCTAGTATTGCTACTTTTATTAACACTGTTGCAGCTACCACAACCTCCACTACTACTACTACTACTACTACTACTACTACTACTACAGTTATTACAACTACTACTACTAAACGTTGAGAATAACGTCACATAGGTTAACAATAACTCAGAATACGCCTCCCTCCAAACACAGCAGAAACACAATGATATTCATTTAAAATTACCTAATGAAGCGTGCGATAAGTCAACTCCGAAATGAACTGAACTGACCTATATAAATACAGGTCACTTGATGATTACGTGTCATCGCCGGCCAGCCAATAGAAAGCCAGAGATGTAGCACGGGTCAGAAGTCAAGGTCATGTCAGTGTTTTTGCTGCCGTGTGTGTTTGTATGTGTTTGGTTGTATGTGTGAGTGTGCGTGTATGTGGGGGGGTTATGGGTTTCCGTGTCAAACTTCAGAACTGTTTGATTGATGATGGTAGTGATGGTGGTTGTTTAATGAATAACGATGATGATGATGACGATGATGATGATGATGATGATGATGATGATGATGATGATGACGATGATGATGATGATGATGATGATGATGATGACGATGATGATGATGATGATGATGATGATGATGATGATGATGATGACGATGATGATGATGATGATGATGATGATGATGATGACGATGATGATGATGATGACGATGACGATGATGATGATGATGATGATGATGATGATGATGATGATGATGACGATGATGATAATGATGATGATCACGTCATCGATGGTGGTGATGATGGTGTGGGGAGGAAGATGATGATGACGCCAACGATGAAGTAAGTGCAACAAAACTCCATCTGAGCAAATTTTTAAAACTCTCAAGACATTATCATGGGAAGGTGGCAGGGAAAAAAATTTTTTCACCAATTTTCTCGTTAAAAGTATCAGCGAAATTATTTTTGAAGTTTTTGAACATAAAATGAGAATTTTCATTCTCTTTTTTCAAACATACATACACGCACACACGCAGACACACACACATATACAAACTCATGTACATACAGATATACATACATATATATACATACATACATACATACGTACGTACGTACATACATTAGCATTCATAACACTTTTCCACTCTTCTTTAACATTGACATTTGAAGTTTTTTAATTTTTGTCTTCTTATTTTTTTCACTTATTTAATTTATTCATTTTTTTTATTCAATCATTTTTTTTCCTTCATTTACTGGCCTTTCGAGTGCCCGCC